CTTAATTCTTTTATCACTAACCTTAACCTGAATAATAGAGGCATAATCCTTACCTGTGAATACAGTAGAGAACAAATCAATTTTTTAGACCTTGACATTTTTATAAAAGGCGGTATGGTACATACAAAAACTTTCTTTAAAAAGGTTTGTGTTAACACTGCCATTGACAAAAATAGCTGTCATTACCAACCATGGCTAGACAGCGCTCCCAAAAGTCAAATACTTAGACTTAGAAGAAACTGTTCAGAACTTAAAGACTTTGAGATACAAGCGAATCTCTTAAAAGATAAATTCGTTGAAAAAAACTACTCAAAATCAGAATTAGAAAGTACCATCATGGAGATTCAAGGGAAAGATAGGAATGAACTCCTAAAATATAAACCTAAAACTACGGACACAGATATGCCTTTACCGATTATTTTTAACTTTAATAATAAGAGTAATAATGTTAAAAAAATCATAAAAAAACATTGGCACCTTCTTAAACAAGATGAAATACTAAACAAAATTATACCTGAACGCCCGAATATTATATTTAGGGGTGCCCAAAATTTTAAATCTATTCTGACTAATAATTTTACAAGAGAAAAAACTTCTAAAAAAAAACCCCCTATATCCTTTTCCCCACAAATTAAAGGCTTCTGCAAGTGTAAAATGTGCATTGTGTGTAAATCCACCAACTCTGATGTTCCACCCAAAGTAACGGAATTTTCATCAAAAAGGACTAATAAGGTTTACAAAATAAATGATTTTATTAATTGCTCCACGAAAAACGTGATATATCTGCTTGAATGCCCTTGTGGCCTCCAATATGTTGGAATGACCACAAGGTGTTTAAAAATACGTTTGAGCGAACACTGCAGAAATATCAAGAATGGATACTTAAATCATTCAGTATCCAAACATTTCATTATACATAACAAAGATCCTAAAATGTTGAAATGTATTGCTATAGGGAAATGTATGGTTCCATGGAGGGGTGGAAACATTAAAAATATTTTAGGCAAAAAAGAAATGGAGTGGGTCTATACACTTCAAACTCTTGCACCTTATGGCCTGAATGTTGATTTTGATTTGTTCAATTTTTTATAATTAAGAGCATTTAATATATGTTTTTATACCATTTTATTCCATTGATTTGTTTACACACTATACCTGCTCTTACTATTTAGCAGAGCAGGCATGATGCTAATGTTAATTTTTATCTACTGCCTCTTTCCATTTTGCTTTTATTTCATTTTATTTTTATTTATTATTACTATTTTCTCTTTTCCTTATCTTTATTTATTTTTAACATATTCTTTTTATTCCATTTATTTTTATTTCTTCTTTTTTTCCCCCCTCTTCTATTCGGCCATAGCCGACTCTGCCGTGTTTTATCTCCATGACGACGGCCACAGCGCTGTGTGAGCCGTCGTCTATCTACTTCCTGATGACGGCGGCTACTGTTTTGTGCGTGCCGCCGTCATCATGTATGTCCGCCTTTCGCTCCGCCCACTGGCGTCTGGACGCATCTGCTATGCGAGCGGCTGCGTCCAGACGCCAGCTACCAGTTCCCCCTCACGACGCCGGCGGCTGCGCAGTGCCGGCCGGCGTCGAACTACACATCCCATCATCCCCTTCGGTTTCGATGCCGGTCATGTGACCGTGCATCACAGAGTTTTTCTGCATAAACTACTGATCGTTTTTAAAGTTAAACTATATGATGTACTAAGTTTTTTTTATTTCCTTTCTTATGCATATTATTAATCATGTTTTATTAGTGTTCCATTGAATGTAATTTTTTACTGCAATCTGATTGGCTGCCGAAATTTTGGCGCCAATTTTTGAATTAATTGTATATGCTATTTAAATGATCCACTGCCAGGTATCAGGTTCTTCACCCATATTGATAACGCCGATTGGCGAAACGCGTTTATGGTTTTTTATATTGTGTAATGTTACAATTAAAGTATATTTTATAATCTTTTATTGTACCACTTATCTTCTTATACCCATATAAGTATTATTTTTACCTGGCATTATTCCCTGGACTCCAAGCAATCCTAGGTGGGGATTATTCCACCAGTGCGAAATACCAGGAGCAGTTGACCTGCTCCTGTCTTGTGAGTACCCATTTTTATTTTATTTTATATTCTATTTTAATTTCACGCAGAGAACACTGTTGGCTGTCTCTTTTTATTTTATTTGAGCATTTCTTATACCAACGGAAGGAGGAAATACGTGAAGGATAACCATCCCATATCCCATAAGCGGGGATCTAAACCGCTGTACGCCTTCTATACCAGAGCAGGTTCTAGCTCTTGGATATGTGAGTTCGCAATCAAGCTTTTATATTTTATTCCTTTTACATTAAGATATACTGCACCATTGTGGTTTTGTATCTGTTTTTATCTCTTACATACGAGACAGTCCACAAGAAAGACAGAAAGCAAGATTACTGTTTCGGACTAAGCACTACGGACATTGCAAGATAAGACCTTCTCTCCTTTATTTATTTATTCTATCTGGACTTTTATACTTTTTATTTAAGCGCAGCCCTTTTTCTGTATTTTTTGTGTTTTATCCTTAAGGGTTTTTGAGGGATTCCCTTTTAGGGTTGCTGCTTATTTGTGTTATTCAGCGCTCACTCATTGTCTTGGTTTTATTCTGTTTTAATTCCCTCTTGAGTTAGCAGCTTTTTAACCTTACCATGTCCATATTTGATTTTAGAAACAATTTTATCATTGATATAGAAAATGTCTTTGATACAGAAGCTATTAGTCCCATGCATACTAATTATCCAAAGATAAGTCAAGAAGAGTTGTTTATCAAATTAGAAAGTATCTTAAGTAAAGAGATTAAATTAAAATGGGAAATAGCCACTTTAAAAAAATATATTGATGAACAGATCACTCCCCGAGGTTTACGACTACTTAAGTTGCCCACCTCAGACCAAGATGACTTGGAATTTATGGAGGAGTGGAATAACAAGTTAGAACTTTGCACTCTAGGTCTCATGGAAACCCTGATAATAAAAAAAAGTAAAAAATTGTCAGTTCTAGATGCAGAAATCAATGATATTCGAGACAAATTGTTGCCATTTACTGATACACAGGCATACAAACAAAACTCTATTTTAATTCAAAGTAAAATTGAAAAGGTCGAAATTGAAACAAAACACATTAAAATTAAAAAATATATTAGAGACAAAACAGATTACTCTAATAAACAAGTCCGAACCTACCACTTGAACAAGAAATACACCTCTCAATACCCTGTACAAAAAAGTGGTTTTATGAAAACCAATACTTATCACGAACAAAAAGCATATGGAAATCCAGAGAGACAACACTTCAAATACCAGTCTCATCAATACCAGAGTACAAGTAAACCATCACATCAATCACAAAATATGTACACCTATAGGGCACCTAACAACCACTCCCGTGGTCCACCACAACGAGCCAACCACTATAACACTCATCAATATCATCCCTTTCCACAACGTAATCGAAATAACTCTCACCACAACTATCATGATACTTCACCAATATATCACAATAAACCTGGATTTCAATATAAACACTTGTCTCCCAAACCGCAAAGATCGAAGTATATCAATGACCACAAAGAGTATGCTAATTACTCCAAATCACCTACGATTCCGAATCACCCCAACAGATTTCAACTACTGTCACTAGACTCTGAATTTGAAAATGAGGATCATTTTTTAGAGATCCGAACCAATCGCACTACATTAGCCCAAACACCTCACCCCTCACGTCCCAAAAAAAGGATTTTAAATTCAGAGGAAGAAGAAGTGGTAGACGCGAGCAAAAGAGAAAGACTAGAAAGATAACACCTTCTCCTAACGTAACTAATGGAGGCATTTTTAATCTGTCACCAAAAATTTTAAATAGTGCACATTTAGCGGTTTTAACTAAAGGTCTTAAGTTTGCCCCTACCAATACTTTTAAATCTTTTGAAGCTTTTATTGATGTGAATAAATTTGTTTGAAAAGCAACTTTAAAAAGATTTTTCATGGAAAAACCTGAACAATATGCTACCATAACCCCGTCAATACCTTCATGTAATAATAATATTATTAATACCTCCCTTAGAAAGAAATCCACTTTTTATCCTGCTCATTATAAGTCTGCTCCCCTCACTATGTTTGAAAAACTTGTTACAAAAGATTTAGAAAAAATAAAAA